AACATCAGCTCAGGTCATGATCTCACAGTTTAGGGGTTCAGGCCCTGCGTTGGGCTCTGTGCCTACAGCTTGGAGCCTGGAGCCTGCTTTGGGTTCTGTGTCTCCCTCTCTCTGCCCCTCCCCTGATCATGCTCTGTCTCTCTCTCAAAAATAAATAAACATTAAAAAAAATATGGACAAATAATGTTATTTGCTTATATATGCATAAAGAAAAGCACTGAAGAATACATAAGAAATAAAATAGTTATCTTTGAGAGACAGAGGCAAGTCAGGAGTGGAAGACTTTTTAGATATGTTTATATGTGTATGTTCTAGAGTTTAAGAATAATTTTTTGTAGTTAATACTCCCTGAAATTGTCCCTTCTGGTGCATTTTTTTCTCTTAAATTTTTTCTTAACATTTTATTTTTTTGAGAGACAGAGACAGAGTGTGAGCAGGGGAGGGGCAGAGGAGAGGGAGACACAGCATCCAAAGCAGGTTCCAGGTTCTGAGCTGTCAGCACAGAGCCTGATGCGGGGCTCGAACCCATGAACTCGAGATCATGACCTGAGCTGAAGTCAGACACTGAATCAACTGAGCCACCCAGGAACCCCCTTTCTGGTAGAGTTTTAAGTCTGATTTTCATTGATGTCTCTTTTAGTATATTCACTCTCCTGGTTGTATACAATGGAGGGATATATCTAGTGGTGTCCTCACTGGGAATATTGTTTGCATCTGTCAGGAATATGATTGTATATATTAGTCAGTTGTCTAACAATACTCAACAGGACTGCTGAACTTAGCAGAATTTGGGGGTGGTGTATATTATGACGTTTCTGTTTAATGGGAGTACCATGTGTAATTTATAGTTCTTAAAGGATTTTACTTGTAAGATTTTATCAGTAGATCATACTGAAAGTATTTTAGTAGGAAAACCTAAATCCATAGCTGTTTTGTGACTGTTAAAGCACTCGCTTTTTTTTTTTTTAAGAAAGAGAGAGAGCGTGCAAGCAGGGGAGGAGGGTAGAGGGAGAGAGAGAGAATCTTAAGCAGGCTCCACACTCAGCCCAGAGCCCCTGCCAAGGGCGTGATCCCATGACCCTGAGATCGTGACCTGAGCAGAAATCAAGAGTCAGATGCTCAACCTACTGAGCCACCCAGGTGCATTTGCCTTTTATCAAGGGAAAATCTTGATCTAACCAAAATATTTATAAACCTTTGTGAAACATATTTGAAAATTTGAAGTAACTGAATAAAATTCATATAAAAGTGTTTAAATGCCTTGAGGCATGGGCTTCAAGGCTTGCTCTACCCTTACAGTTTTTCCAGATTACGATGGAGGTAAAACAGGATTTGGTCTTCCACTGAGTTTCCCACCAATATTTTTGTAAGTTTAGAACAAAATTGTCCTTGTCACTGGATTTTTTTCTTATAGAACTATTAAAGGTCTAGAGATGGTTCGGGGTGACATTAAACAGTATAAGGATTATTTGCAATAACGAGTCTTTTCCTTTCCTTTCTTTCTTTCATTTCCTCTTTTTTTCTCTCCCCCACCCCCCACCTTTTCTCTCCCTCCCTCCTTTTCCTTCCTTCCTTCTTTTTTTGGGGTGTGTGTGGCCAATTTGTGGCAATTGAGCGTCTTTCTTATTTTGAAATTAAATTTGGGTATTAATAAATATACAATCAATAATAATTATTTATATAATACTTATTTTTATTTAATTTTTTACATTTATTTATTTTTGAGAGACAGAGGGAGACAGAGCACGCGTGGGGAGAGCAGAGCAGAGTAAGC